TCTGTAGTCAGAGGTTCTTCTGCTTGATTACTCTTATCTTGCCATGTGGAATCTGTGTTAATAGCAGTACAATGTTTCAAGCTGGCTACAATAGAGCACTTGAACTTGGGGAGCCACTAAGTTAATAAGTGAACCCAATACTTGGGTAAAAATCTCCAAATGCTTATATTCCTTGAAGCAGCGTAGATATTGCTTGTGTGTCCAGGAATTGATACAGCAAATATTTTGAAAATACATTCCTTTCTGAGCTGTAGTCATCACCACCTTCTGTATCTGTATCTCTGTTTATTGTTACCCTCAATTCTATAAGACTCACCCTCCCTCAAGAAGTAAGACACCTTGATGTGACTAGAGATGGCAGAATGAAAACTTGGATTTTTTAAATGTAAAATATGTTCTTTTGTCATGGAAGAATTGTTGGATAAAAAGTAATGTCAAGTCTGTCATCAATTTAGGATGAATTAACTTTTCCCATAAAAATTTTGTGTTTAGGCTGCTGAAAGCCTTCACAAGACCATTGTTAAGAGGCGAATGTCTCATGTGAGTGGAGGAGGATCCATAGATTTGTCTGACACCGACTCCCTACAGGAATGGATCAACATGACTGGCTTTCTTTGTGCTCTTGGGGGAGTGTGCCTGCAGCAGAGAAGCAATTCTGGCCTAGCAACCTATAGCCCTCCCATGGGCCCAGTCAGTGAACGCAAGGGTTCCATGATTTCAGTGATGTCCTCAGAAGGAAATGCAGACACACCTGTCAGTAAATTTATGGATCGACTGTTGTCCTTAATGGTGTGTAACCATGAGAAAGTGGGACTTCAGATAAGGACCAATGTGAAGGATCTGGTGGGTCTGGAATTGAGTCCTGCTCTTTATCCAATGCTATTTAACAAATTGAAGAATACCATCAGCAAATTCTTTGACTCACAAGGACAGGTAAAGTGTGTTCTGCTTAATTTTTTACCTTTCCCTATGAATAGAGTGACTATTAAAATAATAAAGCCCTTTTGTTTATTTAGTAAATTTTGGCATGAACATTCACTCACAAGTCTTAAAAGAAATAGACAGAAAATGACATAAAAAAAGAATTCTCTAATGTGGGATCAGCTTGCTTTTTAGGAACTCTAGTGTGTGGGTGTGCCTGGGGTTATGAATATCTTAGGTATGGGTATGAGTGCCTATGCATAGCTCTGTGCCTGTTTGGATTTCTGCCTGTGGGTGCATTTCTGCATATGTTAGACATTTAGATCAGGCAGCTTCATATCTCTCTGATCTGTCTTCTGTGCATTGATTCCAGATGTATTTTGTTCCTTGTATAGGTTTTATTGACTGACACCAATACTCAATTTGTAGAGCAAACTATAGCTATAATGAAGAATTTACTAGATAATCATACTGAAGGCAGCTCTGAACACTTGGGGCAAGCTAGCATTGAAACAATGATGTTAAATTTGGTCAGGTAAGCATTCTATTGAAATGTAGCAGAAATACATTGGTTTTAGTAGTTATTAGTGAAATAATTTGCCATCCTTTTCTTTATTATTCCCAAATTAGGGTGTGACAATAAGGTAACCAGAAGTTATGTATGTTCTCTTATAAATAAAATAAAAATCTTGTAGCTTTTATAGTTTACTTTTAGTAATTTTACGTAGAGATTAAAGCATTTAGAAAACCTCTTTTGTTTGCATCTGATAATTTTTTTTGAATGTTTCTATGTCCAAACAGATATGTCCGTGTGCTTGGGAATATGGTTCATGCGATTCAAATAAAAACGAAACTGTGTCAGTTAGTCGAGGTAATGATGGCAAGGAGAGATGACCTCTCATTTTGTCAAGAGATGAAATTTAGGTGAGTTCTTAAAAGAACAATGCAGAGTCTTCTAAATCTTGTTATGTTAGATGAAGTACAGGAAAATGGTAGGTAACTGGTTATTATGGGAAGCGGGGATAGAGAGTGGGAGAGGAGCATTTTAGGTGTCAATTTTTCTCCATGTCTTTTTAAATTTCCCAAAGCTTTGTGCTCATGACAGCGCTCCCTTTTTCAAAAATTACACTATCCTTGAGCTAAGAATTTGATTCTGTTTCCAAACAGATACATAGCTAACTATAACATGGAGGTCAGTATCCAAGTCCCTTCTGTTAGATTTGTGAGAGCAATATCTCTTTTAGAAACTTGTCATGTTGCCTGGGTTATTTGGCACATTGTGTGCACTATTTAAAAAGGTGTATGTATGACTTAAAAATTTGTTTGCTTTTTTTTTTCTCTCTACCATTCTATAGGAATAAGATGGTAGAATATTTGACAGACTGGGTTATGGGAACATCAAATCAAGCAGCAGATGATGATGTAAAATGTCTTACAAGGTAAAAAAGAGAATGACCTTAAGTATCAGCAGGTTTACTCTAGGCATTGGTACTACTTCATTATAGCTATTATACATACATTTTATGTGTAATAAAATTATTTTTCTGGATATCAAGCTCTTGCATTTGAATTTATACTTTTTTTTAAACTAAAAGACTTAACAGTAAAAAAATGTGAGAGTTTTATGTTTGGAAAGTTAGTGTTGCATATTTATGAAGGATAGTGTACAATTATTGGAAAATATGTAAAGCCTTAAATTGTATTTATTTTATGGTTAGATAAAAATCTTGTAGCTTTTATAGTTACTTTTATGTAATTTTACTTAGAGATTAAAGCATTTAGAAAATCTCTTGTTTACATCTGATACATGTATTATTTGTTAATGGATTAGTTGTTTTGAGTCCTTTTAAAGCTAATTAAGTTTGCTCTAATGACAAGTATTTATTGCCACATATTAGAAAATAATTAATCACTGTGAACTGCATAATAACCATTTACATGTATTACTTTGGCCAGACTTGGTTTTGAAGTGCATTCTCTTGATTTAAGGTAGTCATTTTGCCAAGATTACTTTATAGAAAGTTATTGTCACCCTCTCCTAAACTTGAAATGTTTTTGTATTCTGGAGTCTGCATATTAACTCAAATCTTTTAGGTTTTCCTAATAATGTGTTTAATGAAATAGGTAGCTCCTAAAGTTTGTGTCTGTTAGGAAGAAATTTATTTGAGGGGATGGTGGAATGGAAGAACCTGAAAAACTTATTATGGTCTTTAAATATTTTTTTCTTCAGAGATTTGGACCAGGCAAGCATGGAAGCAGTAGTTTCACTCCTGGCTGGCCTCCCACTGCAGCCTGAGGAAGGAGATGGTGTGGAACTAATGGAAGCCAAATCACAGTTATTTCTTAAGTAAATTTCTGTTACCAAAAACACAAAGCAAAAAACCAAGTCCCACACAACCAAAGAAAGAAAGTGTGATCAAAGTGATAAATTGTTATATTTAGAACATGGTCATCATTGCTTTGGTATTACGGCCATCAGCTGCTGTCTCATAAAATATAACACATGCATGAAGCAGTATTCCCTGTGTCAGGAGTGGGATAGGAGAACAACTGTGTTTTGTGATTTTTAAAGAAAATTATCTGACCAGTGACTTTTTATTGGCAGTAAAACCCAGATCACCTATTTGGACCACTAATTTTATATGCTAAGCATTAAAAGTGATGTACTTACATTGCATGTACTTACATTGGAATATATACTGGGCTTTATAAGGGCAAAATCATATTCAACAGAGCACACTGCATAACGAGCCACACTAGCTGAGTACCCCAAGACTGAAGAGTAGCAGATACTCAAGACCCACTCATGAAATACACGTGATGATTTCAGAATGTCTCGTTAGTTTTCTGGTTGATGTGGCCTTCACTGTATAAGGGTCAGTCTTTTTATTTCTCAGGTATTTCACATTGTTTATGAACCTTTTGAATGACTGTAGTGAAGTTGAAGATGAAAATGCACAAACAGGTGGCAGGAAACGTGGCATGTCTCGGAGGCTGGCATCACTGAGGCACTGTACAGTCCTTGCAATGTCAAACTTACTCAATGCGAATGTGGACAGTGGCCTCATGCATTCCATAGGTGAGATAAAATGAGAGCATATAGAAATTTAAAACTTAGAGAATTGGCATATAAGACGATAAAATTATTTTAGCAAGGTCATGTTAGTAAATTTGCGTCTATCTGTCCATATCAGGTTTAGGTTACCACAAAGATCTCCAGACAAGAGCTACATTTATGGAAGTTCTGACTAAAATCCTTCAACAAGGCACAGAATTTGACACACTTGCCGAAACGGTGTTGGCAGATCGGTTTGAGAGACTGGTGGAGCTGGTCACGATGATGGGTGATCAGGGAGAGCTCCCTATAGCTATGGCTCTGGCCAATGTGGTTCCTTGTTCTCAGTGGGTAAGTTCATTGAAGGTGGAAAGGAAAAGTGCCTGCCACATAGCAGATGGTTCAGAATTCATTTGTTCAGTGAATGTTGATTGAATGAATTGCTGAAACTTTAGAGCTAGAAGAGACTTCAGATATTATTTGAGTGGTTTTCAGCTGTGGGGAAGTGGTTGGAGCTTAGTCCTCACTAGTATTCTTAAGTATGAGGATCATACCGATCCACACATTTTAAAGTAAAATTCGGACTTCTGACCTGTCCTACTGAAAAACTCCATTTAAATACTGATGAAAAGAAAATTAAAACCACTGACCTGGTCTGGTGTCTTCATATACTAACTGAGATAATTAGTGTTAAATCTCATATTAGTTGTTAGTAATGCTAGCACTAGAATTCAAGGCTTGTGCCTGTTTACTATCCCCAATTCTTGACTCTTTTTCTATAATGCATTTTACAATTTTTAAAAAAATTTAAGCACACTTATTTGCATTTGAAATTCTGATGGTGCATGTTTTATTTATATTTATTTATTTTTTAATATATTTTTATTGATTTCAGAGAGGAAGGGAGAGGTAGATAGAAACAGCAATGATGAGAATCATTGATTGGCTGCCTCCTGCACGCCCTCTACTGGGGATCGAGCCCGCAACCTGGGCATGTGCCCTTGATTGGAATGGAATCTGGGACCCTTCAATCTGCAGGCTGACGCTCTATAAACTGAGCCAAACCCTCTAGGGCTGATGTTGCATATTTTAAACACTGAATACATAATGTGGCTATTTGAATTCTTAATAAAAATTTTCCTAAAACCATATCATTCTTAAAAATATATGCTAAAAATTTGGGAAGGAATTCCCTTTTCATGTTAAAAAGATGCTTAATTTATATTGTACCAAAAATGGTTTCAGTTTAGTAAATTATAACTAATATGGTAATCTGTCATTGCCTGTAAATTTCTGCTATAAAAAGCTATAGGATCTTATTCTTCATACTTAAAAGTAAAACTCAAATTCTGGCTCTACGCTACCTGGCCCTACCTCATCTCTGACATTATCATATGCCATTTTCCTTTTTTTAAAAAAAATATATATATATTTGATTTTTTACAGAGAGGAAGGGAGAAGGATAGAGAGTTAGAAACATCCATGAGAGAGAAACATTGATCAGCTGCCTCTTGCACACCCCCTACTGGGGATGTGGCCGCAACCAAGTTACATGCCCTTGACCGGGATCGAACCTGGGACTCTTCAGTCCACAGGCCAACGCTCTAGCCACTGAGCCAAACTGGTCAGGGCCATTTTCCTTTTTATTCACCAAACTTAAACCACACTGGCCATGAAACATGTTTGGGTTGTTTCCACCCTGCAGCACTCTTACTGCTGCTGCTACCTCTACTGCCTGGAAAGCTTCTTCCCTGATCTCTTAAATGGCCGACTTCTTGTTCTTCAAGTTTCAGTTCAGATGTACTTTCTTAGTGAAGTCTTTTCTGACCATCCAATCAAAACCACACCCACAGTCATTCTGTCACATTACCTTGTTATATTTTCTTGGCAGCATTTATTCACTATGTGAAATTAATGTGTTTATTTGAGATTTTACTCTAAGTCCCTAGAATGTGAGCTCCGTGAGAGCAGAGACCTCGTCCCCTGTTCACTCCAAGCCTCTTCTCAGAATGTGTGGTTAAACAATGATTTATTATCACATCATTTTTTTTGAGTCTACCCCAAAATACTTTACCATGGGCAGTCATGAGGGTTATCATTTAGGTACTAGATAGGAATTAGCCATTCACCCTCACTTCGTACATAAATCTTGCTAATGTTTTGGTTCTGCAGGTACCAGGTCTATTTCTTGATTTCCTCCTGCAAATCTTGTAGTCTTTTCATTTTTGTTGTTTCTCTGGCCCATATGCAGAAAACAGTGAGTTTCTCTGACCATATGAGATCTCTTATGGTCACCAAAGTCTTATTCTTGCTCACTTTTTTTCTGAGAAAGTCATCTGTGCATATCAAGCTAAACTCTTTGCTATCATCTTCTGTTAGGCATATAAGAATAGACATCTATTATAGACATACTAGAGGCCCGGTGCACGAATTCGTGCATGGGTACCCACAGTCCAAGACTGCCTGCAGCTCCTACCTGCCGCTCCCGCTCATCCTGGCCCCACTGTACCTGCCATGGGCTCATGCCCAATCAGTCCCAATCGATCAGGAGAGGCTCGCACTGTTGCAGCAGGCAGTGTTCACCAGCTGTGAGCCCTGCCTCTGGCACCCTCCCAAGAGGAGTGGCCTGTGGAATCGGGCTGAAATGTGCTCTCCGACATCCCCTGAGGGTTACCGGATTGCGAGAGAGTGCAGGCCAGCCCGAGAGACCCCACTGGTGCACTATCGGGCCAGGAAGGGACGGTGGGAGGGCTCCAGGGCGTGTCCAGCCTCGCCTTGCTCAGTCCTGATTGGGGCCAGCCGGGGAAGGAAGCGGGAGGTTGGCCAGCTGGGGAGGGAGAGCTCCAGGGTGTGTCCGACCCATCTCACTCAGTCCCAATCGCCCGGACCACAGCAGCAAGCTAACCTACCAATCTGAGTGTCTGCCCCCTGGTGGTCAGTGCATGTGATAGCAAGCGGTTGAGCAGCCTTAGCATATTGTTAGCATATTATGCTTTGATTGGTTGAACAGATGACCAGTCACCAGACACTTAGCATATTAGGCTTTTGTTATATAGGATGAGCACAAATAAATGCAGGGAGGAAAATTAATCAGTCACAATTTATCTTGATTCAGTTTCCTAATGCAGGGTACTTGAATCAGGCATAATAAATTCCTACTTGTGTATTTCTTTAGGTATATGGTGCTACCTACCTACAAAAACTCCTGGATCCTTTATTACGAATTGTGATCACATCCTCTGATTGGCAGCATGTTAGCTTTGAAGTGGATCCTACCAGGTTTGTCATCTTTCATCTACAACTGCTCTTCATTTTTTTCCCTACCACTACAATGGTAGGGCCTGAGTACAGGCACTGTACAATGGTAAATCCTTGCCCTCACGATTTCTCCCCTTGATTCTTAAAATTAGTCTTTAGCCTGGCTGGTGTGGCTAAGTGGTTGAGCGTCGATTTATGAACCAGGAGGCCATGGTTCGATTCTCTGTTAGGGTCAGGGCACATGCCTGGGTTTCAGGCTCAATCCCTAGTAGGGGGTGTGCAGGAGGCTGCCAATCAGTGATTCTCATCATTGATGTTTCTATCTCTCTCTCTCCCTCTCCTGCTCTGAAATTGTTAAAAATATATTTTTAAAAATTAGTCTTTAATTATGAAAGTTACGTGCAAATACATTTTTCTTAAAAAACAATTGCAGTTATCATTAAAGGTGGCTATGACTACCATCTTGGAGATTTAGCACTGTTCTTCTTTAATTTGTTTTTCTGTCCTTCTTTAATGCATTTGCATATATATATGTAGCTGTAGAAACTGTATGTTACCATGTGAGTGCTCAATATAAATAGTAGCATATTGCTACATGGTTTTGCAACTTAATCTTTTTAATTGCAGGATTCTGAAGTGATGACTTTGAGTGTCCCAAGCATTTATGTAATATGTAAATTAGCATATAAGTAAAAATTACTAATTAAAAGATTGAAAACAAGAATTCAATACTTGGTAACAGTGCTAGTTTTTAAGGGGACAAAGATGAGTCCCCTTAAAGGAACTTCCTTCCTTCAAGGAGTTTACAGTTTAGTAGGAGATAAGACATATTACACGTAGTTAAGAGTGAGTTTCATAGGGGATGTGTTTTGAGAGTTCAGATTATGCCAGTTGGGGAGCCCGAGTAAAGCTTTGTGGATGTGATAGCCAATGGGTGAAATTTAAACCCAATAAATAGGCAGAATTATTATTACTAGGTTATTGATGAAAAAAAATTGAGGCCCAGGGAAGTTAAATGTCTTGACCAAGGCCATAGAGATCATTGTGGTAGAACTGAAATGTGGAACATATTTTATAAGTAGCATTTCACATAAAATAAACAGAGCGCTCTTTCCTGGGTAAACCTGACACAAAAGTAAGTCTGTTTTCTGAATTTCTTCCTTTAATCACAACACCAAGACTTTAGAGATCATATTGAATTGGCAACCCTGATTGAATGGGGGCAGTAATGGAGTATACCAGGCATGTGGAGACATCAGAGGTCACCAGAATGACGTGATTGGGACAGTGATGGTGCCATTGACAGCATGGGGAGCAGCACAGTGTAAGACAGAGTAGGAGAAAAGATCAGCTAATTTTGGGCAAACTGAATTTTAGATACTGGTGGGAGAGACACCTAGCAGTTAGAAATATCAGGCTGGATATGAAAGGCAGTTCAAAATAGGGGAAACATGAATGACCACAAAATACATGAAAGTGTGTCTAACTTGACCAGAAGTCATGGGAATAAAAGTTAAAAAATATGAGATGCCCTTTCCTACCTACTAGATTGGCAAAAATAGTAATAATAATAATAAAAATAAAAATCACATACTGAATTTGTAAGAATATAATAAGAATTTTAATACACAATTAGCAAAATTTCTTTTTTTATAGTTGGCTTGTTCAAATCAAGAAGCTAACAAAGTCCAAGCATTGTATTTGGCTAATTTGGCTGAATATCTCTTAAGTAGTCTCTTTTAAGGAGTATTTTTGTTTGTTTTTAATTTATTTGACTTTTTTTTTGTAGGTTAGAACAGTCAGAGAGCCTTGAAGATAACCAGCGAAACCTCCGTCAGATGACTGAAAAGTTCTTCCATGCCATCATCAGTTCCTCCTCAGAATTTCCCCCTCAGCTTCGAAGTGTGTGCCACTGTTTATACCAGGTATGCTTAAGGTTAGAGATTACCATTATTGATCCAAAGCTAAATTAAAAAGAATGCTTTGCCAAAGAGGAATTTAGCTTTTGATAGTGGGTGATTAATAATACTGAGTCAATTTAGAAGGGTAAAGCATTAAAAATTGTTGAAATTGGCTTTGAAAATAACAAATATTACGAGACAGTTTTAAGTATTTTAAGGAGGTTCTTTAAAATAATAATTTTTTCCTGTATTGAGAGCAAGTTTAAGATGCACCAGATATATTTGGTATAATGAATGTGGTTGAAATGAGATATATTATGCAATTTATTTTGTTTGCTATCTTTTGCCTATATTACTCATAGGTTCTTTAACATATGAAACAGGTTTACTACCTGCTTTTTGCATTGTGAGGCTTGATCTATAATTTTGATTTCTTCATTAAGATATAATATTTGCCTGGCTGGCATGGCTCAGTGGTTGAACTGTGAACTAGGAGGTCACAGTTCGATTCCCAGTCAGGGCATATGCCTGGGTTGTAGGCTTGAATCCCCAATGTGGGGCGAGTAGGAAGCAGCCAATCAATGATTATCTCTCAACATTGATGTTTCTATCTCTCCCTCTCTCTTCCTCTCTGAAATCAATAATAAAAAAATATATTTTTTAAAAAGATAAAATGTTTTTGTGTCACATTTTCCCAGGAAAGACTGATCTGTTTATTTTATGTGAACTGCCACCTAGAAAATATGTTGCACCATCATTTAGATCCAGTTATTAGATATTTTTTAACACTAGCACTATAAATAATTGCCTCTGAGTTCAGATATCCACAGTCATTCCTACTTGTTGAGGAAATTAAGTCTTTATTTTTTATGGTTTCCATTGTGTTTTTGAATTGCATATGCATTCATTCCAAAGGAGATTAGCCTGTTTAAACTGTGATTCTGGAAGAAACATTAATAGGTCTAGAGTTATGGACTCCTGGAGGAAGAATTTATGCTTTTATCAAAACCCGTGCCTTTCTCTTTTAATCCTCAACCGAGGATATGTTTTTATTGATTTTAGAGAGAGAGGAAGGGTTAGAGAGTATAAAACATTGATATGAGAGAGAAACATTGATTGGTTGCCTCCCTCACTCGCCCTGTCTGGGAGTCAAACCCGCAACCTAGGTATGTTCCCTCACCGGAATCAAACCTGCAACCTTTTGGTGTACAGAGGACACTCCAACCCAGGGGTCGCCAACCTTTCGGACCTCGTGGACCGCTGCTTCAAAGGTTTCCTTAAACCAGCGGTTGCCAACCTTTCGGGCCTCACGGGCCACCAGTGATCCATAGACCACCGGTTGGCAATCACTGCTCCAACCAACTGAGCCATCCGGCCAGGGCCAAATCCCATGCCTTGTGTCTTCTTTCTTTTAAGAGTCATTCTCATCCATTTGTTTTTTAGCATAGAGCTTTAGTTGCTTAGAGACATTAGTAAGATCACCGAAATTACCATTTTCAGGCTTTATTTATGTCAGATAAAAATAGAGTTTAAGCCAAAAATAGTAAAAAGAGACAAAGAAGGTCATTATGTAATAATAAACGGGTCAATACATCAAGAAGATATAGGAATTGTATATTTATGTGCCTAACATTGGAGCACCTAAAAATATAAAGAAAAAATAACAGAGCTAACTGGAGAAATAAACATTAGAACAATAATAGTTGGGTAATTTATCCCACTCTCAACAATGGATAAATCATCTATAGAATCAGGAAACAGCAGACCTAACAGATACATATAGAACATTCTGTCCAACAACACCACAATACACATTCTTCTCAAAGGCACATAGAATATTTTCTAAGATAGATTATATGTTAGGCCACTAAGCAAGTTTTAGCAAATTCAAAATCGAAATCATGATGAGCAAGTATTTCTTTTGACCACAATGACGTGAAACTAGAAATAAATAATAAGAGGAAAACTGGAAAATTTATGAACACACAGAAGTTAACACTCTCCTGAACAGTCAGTAGATCAAAGAAGAAATTAAAGGAGAAATAAAAAAATTTCTTGAGATAAATGACAACAGAAACACAACATAACAAAACTTGTGGGATGCAGCAAAAGCAGTTCTAAGAGAGAAATGCATAGCAATAAATACCTTCATTAAAAAGCAAGAAAGATCCCAAATAAACAACCTAACTCTATACCTTTAGGAACTAGAAATGGGGCCTTTGGGAGATGCTTAGGTCATTAGGATGGAACCCTCATTAATGAGATTAGTGCTTTTATAAAAAAGACCACAGAAATCTCCCTTGCCCCTTCCATCATATGAGGACACAGCGGGAAGATGGCTGTCTATGAACCAGGTTTCTCATCAGATATTGAATCTGCATGTGCCTTCATCTTAGACTTTCTAGCCTATAGAACCGTGAGAAATATTTGCTGTTTAAGCTTAAAAAAAAAAAAGACTGAATCAGGGCGAAATAGAAAATCTGAATAAACCAATTACTAGGGAGGAGATTGAATCAGTAATCAAAACTCTCTCATGAAGAAATGCCCAGGACCAGATGGCTTCACTGGTGAATTTTACCCAACACTTAAAAGAATTAACACCAATCCTTCTCAAACTTTTTCCAAAAATTTAAGAGGAGGCAACACTCCCAAACTTATTTTACAAAGCCAGCATTATCCGGGAGAGAAAAAAACAAAAAACAAGAGCAGCTCTAGCAGTTTGGCTCAGTGGATAGAGCGTCGGCTTGTGGACCAAAGGGTCCCAGGTTCAATTCTGGTCAAGGGCACATACCTGGGTTTCGGGCTCGGTCCAGTGTGCAGGAGGCAGCCAATCTATGATTCCCTCCCATTATTGATGTTTCTATCTCTCTCTCCCTCTTCCTTTCTTTCTGAAATCAATAAAAATATATTTTAAAAACAAGCAAACAAATAAGAACACCCAGAAACTGAATATATATGCAAACATCCTCCTATCTAATAAAAGAGAAACATGGTAATTGGCGTACAACCGCTACCCTTCCCATTGGCTAATCAGGGCAATATGCAAATTAACTGCCAGCCAACTTGAAACTAACATGAGGCTTGCTTGCTTCAGTGACGGAGGACTCCAATGTTCCCCACCTGCCGCTGCAGGCCTCTGAGCTGCAAGCAACTATAACTATGTAACAAATATAGAAGCTAAACAAAACCCCAGAAACCTGCATTATCCGCCAGGCTTCAGCCAGAAGGATCGCAACATTGTAAGCAAAGGCCAGAAACCTACTTTCAGCAGCAGCCTGTTGG